GACTAACACTCACCCGCACAAACAGATACGCACTTATGAATGTCAGCACACACACACACAGATACTGCACATGGCCACACATGCTGTCGCATGGACACACAGACGCACACACACATCATCACAGACATCAACAGATCAAACAAAATCAGAGCTGTTGTTTCCAGCTTCAGCGTCCTCCTGCTGTCTTCTCCATTTATTGATCCGCAGTAATAAGTGCACCATTAACCTTCCAAACGTTTTATGATGAAATGTGTGTATGTTTGGTGAGTGTGTGTTTGTGTTTACGTGTAGCTGCCTGAGAGAGAAAGGAGAAACGTTTCTGAGAAACAGGAAGAGTGTTTGTTGACATACTGTACAGTATGACTTTCCGTGTGTGTTTCTGTGTATGTGTCATTTTTGGCGCACAACGGCAAACCGGATACATGTGGAAATGAAAGTGTCGTGTCCTTTCTAAGCTGCACAGCGGCGCAGCCGGCAGATTATTGGACACAACAGGAGAGACGGACTCTGGCAGATTGGCGACACCCGGACCCCGCTTGACGTCCCTCCTGATTCACGTGTGCTCACATGACATGACACATTCGACGCATCATTTTGCACCTCCAGCCATCTATTGCACGTCTGCCCACCCTCATCACGGGTCTGTTTTTATGTTTCATTTTCCCAGTAAAACATTTGATATGGGGATGTTTTTTTTTACTTTTTACAAAGACTTCAAACGGGACAGAGAAAGTGATTTTTTATTTTGGGCTTAAATTGTCCTGACTGGACTGACACAGTTTCTATTACCAACAATCACAAGGCGAAAATCATTCAATAAGGTGGAGCGTTTTATACCCACACCTCTTGACACCCCGTTGCATCATGCAGACTTACTAAGTCTGGGGCTCTTTCCAAGTACATTATTGCAGCAATTTTCTTCAATGACGTGCGGGAAAGAGTCGTTTATATTCACACTCAGAGGACATTTTGAAATCGCTCTCCGCGTGTGGCTGCCATTTATAAAAAGAAAGTAAAAGCAACTGGAACCAAAACGAGTGGGCATGTTTGATGAAGTAATATGGGAATTTCATATGAACTTCGTACCAAGTTTGTGTGCACCCACTGAATGGAGACTACTTTGATGGACGGACCTTGGACAACCTGCAGCTGCTTGATTTAATACAATTATATTTAATAGTCTCCTGAGTCATTTAATATCACGCGCACACACACCGACACACACACACACGCACGAATAAGTTATTTCCTCTCTCCTCTTTTTCTAAAGCGGAAGCCATTAGCCGGGCTAAATGTCTGTCTCGTGTCCCAGACACAGTGACTTACGGGAGTTCTGTAATAAAGTGCACGATTCTACTGTTTTTTCTCTTTTAAGCGAACACAATGTTACGCGTTTATCTTTCAGCTTCAGACTCACACTTTTTGGACGGGGACATATCTTTCCCACTTCTTTACTGTCTTTGTCTTCAGCTAAGCTAAATGTCCTTTGGCTTTCCAGCTTCATCCCCCAATGAGTGTTATCAGTCCTCTCATCTAACTCTCGGCAAGAGGAATTCATTGTTGAATTGTATGTACATCCCCTGCTGGTTGTGGATTTCTTCTCGCATCCATACACAAGAAGACGTTCGACTATAACGCCGTTTCTACAAATGACGCGGCTGACCTTTGTTTCCTGTCATCATCCCACTGTCCCCCCCCCACTGCTTTGAAGTCCTAACAGTGACTGATTTCAGCGGTCGGGCTCTCATCGTCAGGGTGGATGAAGAGCTCCATGTGACTAACAGGAGGAGAGCATCCAGCACAGCACAGAGAAAGACTCATTTATTTCTTATCACAATCTCAACATTCAATCGTTTGAAATATGCTTAAATATTTCTGATGTTCATGAGTCGGCAACATTACGTTAGGAGTCTGAAAAGAGAGGAAAAGTTAGTTTGCTATCTAACATGCAGACAGACTCTGGAGACAAGTTGTTTGAGATAAATATTTCCTGCAAGCCTCCCTGTGCCAAATAGATACCCCTCTGTTCACCATATTCTAAGCAGGAAAGGTCATGCACTTATTCAAGGATGTTGAAGTACACATAATTGTATTTTCCATGCTGGTTATTTTGGTAATGCTGAATGAATAAAGACAAACCCATTTTGCATGATGTCAACAAGATTCTTCCTGAAAGGCCCTGCAGAGCGGAGATGCAAAAACAAACGCAGTACTGCGTGAATGTTGCTGTAAGAAACCATTTGTAAACAACATAACGCATGAAACCAGGAAACAGAAATGTGTTCTTTCCCCTCTGAACCTTCCCCTTTAGGGTCTAACCGGCAAATGAAGACATAAGTGTCTGTGAATGCGTGCGCCCCTTTGAAAAATGTTCATAACGTCTGATCCTCTCCGAGACATTTCACACTATGGTTCCAGGAGGACACATGAGAGCCGTGTCTCAGTCTGCATACCGAAGCAGTAAATCAGCTGAGCCAAAGCATAAACACAAAGCATGAAACTGAAGTGACCCTCAAGGGCCTGACGAATAGCCACCGCGGTAATGGCGTCACCGGAGCCAACCCTTCTGCTGCATTGTGGGAAGGAATTCCTGAGTGTGGCGACTATCAGGGGACTTTTGTGCAAACATGTGAGGCGTGTCATGCTTTTGCAAAAGTATATTTTATTGCAATTTTTCTCAGTGATGTATAGTGTGTATGTATTCTGAGGGCTCATCAAGTCTGGCTTCAGCATGTTTATGCATGTGTGCCGTCTGTTCAATCCTCGTGTGGGTGGAGGCCTAATTATCTCTATTCTGCCTGGCTGAAAGTTCACTAAATACTTTAGTTATACTGTGCAAATGAACGCACGCATTCGATGGATAGCAATTATAAGATATTCAAAGCATCTATGGTGAGTCAGATTCAGTCGTCTCTGCAATAAGGAGATTGTTGAGAGACACAACACTTGGCTTGATCAACTTGGGAGATTTCCAGGGCTACAATAACAATAATAACAGCCATGAAATACCTCAATGGGGTCTGGATTTCTGCGATGGAGAAGGCTTGTCCTCGCTGTCAATTCCACACCCCTTTTCCCACGCAGTTGGACAAGAGGAGGAGGGGATGAGCGAAAGACGAAGGCGTATGAAACATAATCAATCGACAAATCTTCTTTGTTCTTTTGGGATATACTCAACTTTTTCATTGGCTAAAAAGAGTCCCTGGTGGGATCACTGAGAAGTTTACCTCGGTTTAATGGGATTCGTCTGTTTAACTTTGGGTTTCTCCCTCTATACTACCACCCAGTACCAATCAGCAGGCAGACATAGTTAATAACCAGCTGAGGGGCCAGATATTATCCTTGGGGCCTGGCAGAGATCAAAACCGACCTGAAAGCAGAGTGAATATTGTCCAGACACAACTCCACGTGAATGTTAATGGATATCTCTGGGGGAAATTCCTCCTTCATATTTTCTTGCAAATTAAATATTGTATCTTTTATAAATTATTCATATATGAAAACAAAGACAAATAACTTCTCAAGTTGACAATATGTGTGTGTTTTCAGCTTTAAAAAGATTGAATGCAGCAATGACACAGGAACAGAACGACTTAAAAAGTTAAAAGAGGAGAGCCACCAAATGTGATATTAAAATGTCCTATACTGCGACACTTACTTTGTTACTTACTTACTTAATATGTTAGTTATGTTTTGTCACTGATTTTATGCTTTGCATGGTCCCAAATGAAGGAGCTCACTGGAGTAGAAGCATTGGTTCTGCTCCCGATATCTGCATCAGTTTTCATGTCATTATTTATAAATCTTTTGGGCTCACCTGAGATGATTTTACTGATTAAGGGAAAACTTTTGAGTTAAATCACATTGGATGAATGTCAACTCCATCAAGGCCTCAATACTTGTATGCAGCTACACCAGAGAAAATCTCCCATGATGTCCTACTTCTCATTAAATGGGGCGATGGGAGGTTTGAGATGCACCGAGTGCTTGATGTTGTGCGCACGATCGAGTGTACGCAGCTCTCAATTCGCCCATCTGCTATAACTGGCTTAGTTATAAAAGTCAGCGCTACAGACATGGTGCATCCTTCCAGGGAATTTTGCGGCTCACCATTCAGTCAAGTTACAGGCAATTGCTTTTTATTGGCAGTCTAACTTCAAGTTCTTTGTTTTTTTGCATTGTTTTGGCTCTACAGCTTCTGCACTCCAATATTTGAGATCAGTCAACAGTCTGTGAGTCTCTTATCTGTCTGGCTCTATAATCTCCTTTCGACAAGCTACAGTTAATCCGCCTTTCCTGATGTGCTTTGCTGTGTCCTCATGAGCGGGTTGTGTCCAGGTGCGGTGCTCGTACTCGGACACAGCAAGGTCCAAGAGGGGGTCAACAGAGGAACTAAGAGGGCAGCCTGTAACTCCACTCAAACAACATATTCTTACTAGTTTGGATTCAAACATCAATGAAATGTTACACACAGGTCACATCTGCCTCTTTTAAAAGTCGAGAAGTTGTTTCAAGTAAACCACTTTAAATAAAGGGAAACTGAGGCACAATAATGCGTTTACACAAATATATGGTTGTATTATGCAATAGTTATAACTTTATTACTAATAAAAGGAACAAACGTTTTCACGCTGTGTCCAAATTAGAAACAATATAAATGAATACTACAAAGGTTTAACTATAGGATCTATGTTGTTGTATTTGTATTTATAGACTATGCACATAATATTGATTCGTTTTAGGAAATGCCTATCTAAATAAGCATTCTTCTATTTTAATAAACTTTCTTTTTCTGAAAAATGTATGTAATGTAATTATTTTTTTTAAATCGAACTCTTTATCAGCAAGGTCGAATTTCTGTAAAGTGATACGGGTTATACCAATATTTAATATTTAAAAAAAATAACGTATAAAAATGCTCTCAAAAGTATTTTAATTTAAAATATTACCCATAAACACATATTCATTAGACAATACAGCGCCTCAATTTAACGCGTCTCAAAAGCAATGAGGAGGCACTTCCGGTGGCGATCTTTGGTTTGGAGAAGTCACTTGAATTCGGGTCCAAAACACGTTTTGAGTACAGTGGACGGAACATGTGACTCCACACCCCTTCTGTAGCTATAGTGTGTCCTGTGTTTCCCGAGTATCCCGCTAACAGGTGATGCAACGTGTGGACGGAGGGACGCGAACCAACGGCTGCCAACACCTGGGTGGTTCCCAGCAGGAGGCCCGGGAAACGTGCGAGGCGACGGGTGAACAGGTGCGAGTACACGTTACACCTTTGCTCCCTGTGAAGTTGATATTCATCCGGTCAGTAAACCGGTAGCGGTTCTGTAACTGTACGGGTAACGTGCACAATCTCCGCGGGTGTTCGTGTCGGTTCGCAGATGTGCCGCTAACATTACAGAGCTAACGCCAGTTAGCATGCTAAAAACGTTAGCTTTGCCATAGAGATGGCAACTAACGTTACAAACGTCAGCACGAGTCTGATTGCTGCTTTTGACTTTGCTTGCGTTCGGCACGCGGACACCACCACATCATTATTTATTTCACTTTAGGCATTTGCGTTAATTATAAAACATGGTTTGTCAATTTTAAAATAGCCGCTGCTTTGTTAAATGTATAAACTATCCGTTAGCTTATGGATAAAGCTAGCACGTGCCTCGCTGAAGCTAGCACGTGCCTCTCACTGCCACTTGTTGTAAACCCGGGTTGCTCCACACTCGGATTAAGTACATTTGTTTTTTGCCCCAAAAATACTAGTTAGCTACAGCTACTTGGTGGCCCTAAAAATAAAGCCCTGGTGCCCTAATCTGAAGACGTAAGTTACATTACCAATTAAAGTCGTATAGTCTGCCCTGCGTTACTTGTGGTTTATGCAGAGGTAAACCGATTGTGCACATCTTTATGCTGCTGATGCTGAACTACAAATCTTTGTGTCTCCAGTGAGAACAAAAGTCTGTTCCCATGTAGGAAGTGCTTTGTTAAATTGAAATGCCACGTACGACTCCAGAATGACATAGCTCCTCTTTAGCTTTCTTCCTTTTTTCCAATGAGGAGTTCCTACCACTCAACTTTCAAACTTGTCATAGAGCTGTATTTCCCCTCTGTATTGTAATTGGTAGAAATGCACAAATGACATTTTCTTTGCAGATTGTGTACATTTCTGAATTGCAGATTGTAATTTTCCCATTTCCAATATTGGGAACTGCAGATTGGTAGCACGTCTCCAGGCTAGCTTTTCACTAGTGAGGTGGAACCGTCGGAAAAACTCATCTCCAGGTTCCAAAATCCGTTAATTTTTTTTCAACCAAATTTATCTAAAAGCCTTATTAGTTATTTATCGTTTACTTTATTTCCATCAATAGTGATTGTTTGCATAAACACACTATTAATTCAATGTTATTTTTTAATTGAAATGTACTGTATTTATTCAAGCGACTCGCCAAAAAGTAATTTTCTCTTTTCAGATTTACATTTCAACACATGATGAAGTTAGATTTATTTATATTTAACTTTGTCCAAAAAATGTAGTGATCAAGCTTGAACACACTACTGCAAGTCATAGTATTCTCAAAAGCCGATAGTTCCTCTCAAAGCAGGCCTGTGCTAGGCAGAGACCTCGTGCTGCCGCATGTTGATCACTGTAATGACTCTGAGCAGCAGGCACAATTATAAGTGTCTGATTAAGTTAGTCGTACCCTCGCAGTGTATCTTTTAACTGCAGTTGTGAACGTCATAGGATAAGTATATAAAATGTCAAAGTGCTCACACGGGTTGATTCGCTGAAAACGGTTAGGTTTAGATAAGCGGACGATTAAGCTCTGCATCTCTCGCAAAAAAAAGTGCAATATATCGAAATGACACAGAGCCTTGAAATTAAGTATTACTTTTATTATGCGTGATTATTACAAAATTCATTGTCAAATGAATACTTTTTCTGTAGAGTTATGTATATCTATATCCAATGTATATTATTTATATATATATTTTTTTTTTTCTCCTATTATCCATGATAACAGCATGCTTTGTTCTTGGTAGGTTCAGTGGAGACAGAAGTCTTCCATGGAAAAAGGTAGTAATTCATATTTGACCGACAGACTATATCGGCATACTTTAGGTCAGGGATCTCAAACTCTGGTGCGGCCCGCCGCCGGGGTGGTACCGACTTTGGCGTACCGTCAGCGCCACCCCCTCGCCTGCCGTACCGTTCGCCGGTCAGACTGTCAACCCCCCGCCCGTAATGGTCTGGGCCGCGTTTGGTCAGAGTGGGCTGCATCTGGCCTGCTCCTGAAATTACTTTGAGACCCCCGCTTTAGGCGCTTCAATCCGTCATCAATGGTCTGCGTCCTACAGTTTCCCCTTCACTGCAGACTTACTGCTTACTTCTTTGCACAAAATAATGCAACAGATCTGCTGTGGGACGATTACCTTTCTGTATCTGCCAAATCTTTGATAAAATATGTATATATATATTTATATAAAAACATTTTTCATTCTGTTCTGCTTTGTATGAGAGTCAAGATGAAATGTGCATTCTTTTTAGGTGAATCCTATTCCAGAGTTTCCCCACCTTTTGCATCGTTTGCTTTGCCTTTTATTCATTTGAAATCGGCCAACCCTTCCCTGCGGGGTATTGTGAAGGTGTTTATTTCTGCTTCAGGTTGTAATAGCTGTGAAATCGAATCAAAATAACATAACATTTTATTTCTTCCGCCAACTGAAAAGAAATGCTGCATGTTATGTGTTTTTAACTGTTTGAAAATTCAGGGCAGCTTGGTGCTATTTTTGTTTACTAAAAGACTGTATGTCTGGTCTCCTTTTTAGATTTGAAGCGGAAAAAGGGTTTCTGCTGTGTGTAACATTTCATTGATGTTTGAATTCAAACTAGTAAGAATATGGTGCTTGAACAGCCCTTCTGCTGTTGGCTGCCTCTGGGGTTTCTGACAGATTTATCATGTTTACCATCATGTATATTTATGTCAAAAATGTTTCTCCCTGCACTGAGTTCAGGCGCATTTAGGCCCTCTGGTGTGTACAGATGAACAATTGATTGTCTCGAGGAAGGGAGTCGAGGATCCGGGACGTTGGGACAGCACTTTCTTTTGGTTCACCAGGCAAAAATAACCGAGCACACCTACAGACGTGGGTGTGCAGAGCTTGGGAAATTCACAGTTTACCTGGGGTTATAACACCAAAATGATGATGATCATTATCGGTTTATTATGCTGGCACAACGTTTGTACTTCTGGTGCAAAAGACATAGAAATGAGTTAAATCTGACTGAAATGGATAAATGGAGGCTATATTTTTAGTCACGGTCCTGCCGGGCTGTTTTGCTGCCATGGGCATAGCCTGTAATGCAATGAGACTGTAATTGTATTTCCCTCCTGTCCCCATAAATCTGTAGATACAAATTTCCTGTGGGAAGAATAACTGGGAGTATAAATCCTCAAGATACACTTCCTCTTTTGATGGCTTGTGCTGCTGCTCTGAGGAGATTGTTTTTCAAAAATGTTCACATTCGACAGCGTCCAATGTTTACATACTCTGCCAACATGAGTATCAGGTCAGACAAATCATCGTCATAAAGGAAATAATAACAGGAAGTAGTTTCTCTACTGTACCCCTAATATTTCTAGACTTAAAATCCGCCTGTGTTTATTGCTGCATTGCATGAAGCTGGCATTCGCAGTCTTTAAAACCATTTAATTAGGTTGTCAATAAAAAAATACAATAATTGGAAGTCAGTTTATTGACTGCACAAAACGCCTTGAGTAACTTGTCAGTGTAGAATTTATAGTTTCTTTGACAAACCCAGTCGATGTTGACTTCTCAAAGTGTGGAGGACGGGATGTGCAGTGCACAACCAGTTTAACCTTTCTATGGATATCGTATCACATTTAGAGTATTTTCATTATTTTCCTCCCCACGCAGCGGTAGCATGTAGTAAGGAGCGAGTCTCGACTGATTATTAAACAAAATAAGTCAAACTGTTTTATCTAACTGGCCGGTATTCACAGCAAGGACTGTTATTGTATTCCAGTTGAAAATCTAAAAGAAATATTTACGTCGCAAGATACTAGCTGATTACTGCAGTGCTCATACGACTCCTGAATACATTTTACATTAATAAAGTGCCATTGGCAATCTGCAATCATGGTCTCAGTCGTTGATATGGAAAGGATTGTGCTGCTGCAATGTGAATGAGCACTAGTGTGGAAAAATACGGTTTGATTGCTTATATTTCTTTAAGATGGGAGCTGACTTTCGATCGTAGGCTTTGAAATCCTCGATATGGCCGAAGAGAGGCTGATTCCTTAAGTTCAAATGAGGGGTTATGATCGCTCATCATTTCAAAAACTCTGAACTCCAAAGAAATAAGGTGGCATCTTGCTAGAGTAGCCTTATTATTTTTCCCTTCTAGTTTGAAAGCATTTTATTTGTTCTCTCGGTTTTGTGCTCGTAGCAATACAGTGTTCTTACTTAATGCCACATCTGCTTCTTCGGACTACAGATGAAAAATAGTCTTTTGGCTAACTTTGGAGAATTTACAGAAATGTTTTTCATTAATGTGCACTGCCCAATAGAATAAACCAATAGAATAAAGCCCAACAAAGCAAAAACAAGCACTAAGAATAACCATCTGATCAATCGTGGTCTGATTGTCTTACTGTATGTCATATAGTGGCATCTAAATAGCAATAAAATAACCTTGATTCCAATGCAAAAAAACACATTTCTCCACATTTAACAGCAGGATAATACTCACATGATCAGGGTGGGGGGTTTCCAAGAGTCTTGTTAATTTAGTGGGCTTTATACTCCCGCCAGTATCTTAACACTGGAATCAGTAACGGGAGATATTCCACTTGCAAGATGAAGAACATTTTTTATTTTTTTGTAAACACCCACTTGATGTGTGGGTTGAGTTTCGGCAGAAAAAAGGCCGTAATGGCAATGAGCGGAATTGAAAGCAGAGCTGAGGCCTAATGCAATGTTTTTGTAGCTGTGAAAGGATCAGAGATTCTGTGTCTTTTCACCCTGTGATGGCGAGCAGAGGAGCAAAGCCTATATCCGTGTCACGTTGATACACGAGTGAATCCACGTTTTTCAAGTGCCGAATATGTGGGTGAGTGCGTAGCAACAGTTGGCGGTTAAATGGAGTGACTCTATTAAAGTAGAAAGCGACGTCCATCAGGGGCCAGTTTGCTGAGCGAGTGTGATGCTGCGCATCGCCGAGCGTACGTCATAGACGGA